TTTACAATAAGACTCAATTTTAGTGCAGGATTCCCTTCAGGACAGAAACTTGGCTTTAATTTCCTTGAGTCTTAAGTAGCTTCAGTTGTATAGATGTTCTGTGGGCCCTCTGAGCTCAGATAAAGCATTATTTTATCTGTCCTCATATCACCCTACAGACTTTGTTCAAAATAYGATGAAGTGTTACTGTGCCAACAAAATCACTGCTCTGCAAAATGCAATTTTTGCAAAAAAGTTGCAAAAATCTGTTTTGCATTGTTATTGTAAGTACAGATTGGGACAATGMCCTACTTTCAGTCTGCTGAACTGAAACACCTCTTATTTAGCAACAGAAAGCTGTCAATACCCTTCAAAATAAATAGGAAAAGTATCATTTGCTATTTCCAAGAACCTGAGTTAAGAAGCAATTACTTTTGCAGTTATTAAGGGGACCACAGTTCGGACTTGCCTTTAGATAACCACTAAAAAAAAATAAATACCATCAAAAATTATGGTAAAGAGAAAGAGAAAACCTGAAAACTCAGTGTTCATTCGAGGCTTCAAAAAAAAGTGCTGAAATGTGATTGCTCTCAGTCAGACACATTTGACCCTAACTCAACCACACACCCCCACTGACTTCCTTTCTCAGTGCTGGAATTTTTGCAGGGARCTGCTCTTTAAGAAAAGCCAATTAAGAAGATTTTTAGGGCCGTCACTCATGCTGCCAGTTCGTGGGGTACCAGTGGGGGACATGACTGCCTCCTGAGGCTCACAGTCACCCCGCCCAGTGTTCCTCCCTCCACTCTTCTGCTAGTGGAGGGGTTTGTATGTGGGTAGGTGGACCTGACAGTAATGTCTGCTGCTCAGAATGTCCCATCCAGTTTTCCTGGACACTGTGTAAGTCAAGGGAACATCGGGTCACTGCACTGTGCTGCAACGTGGGGCACAAAAGCAGTGATGAATCCTGCCTTCCATGGGCAGGGCACCCCAGAGACCACCTGCGATCCCAAAAACCATGTGTGCAGCCACCTCAGATGTTCCCTGCCTGCTGCTCAGGTACTTTCAGTGCACAAAATCCCCTTCACTTTGTTGTTAGGCAGATTTCACCCCAGCTGATAAATCCCTGACTCTGGAGACATAAGCACTGCTTTGCATACTTGYAGAGATGAAGGGAGGGTTGCACAGAAATCTATCCTGTTGCAAGAGCTTTAGGAGCAATCAACCAGGCAGACCCAGGTGTGTGGCAGAGTACCTTCAGAAGAGCTGGATATCTGCCCTGGACTGATTTTAGCTATGCTGATAAACATCAGGTGAAAATGTGGGTGCAGGAGTTAAGAAACAAAGGTATGTGTTGTGCAGCATATGTTGCAATTTTGAGCTTCATGCAGCAGGAAGAAGGAGAAACATCTGATAATAACAAATGCCCTGAGGACAAAGACACTATGCATTAATATTATGGGAACTATTTAAGACAGCATTCAGTGTGTGCTAAAGACTGGCCAACTGGCATACTGTTTCCTCCTAATCTGACTTAATGAGGTGCTTTGTTGGAAAAAAAAGAGTTGAGCAGAATATGAAGAAACAACTGTGGGACTGTATTTCACTGCCAGAGGCTGGATGGTGCTGAGGAGTGTGGTGGCAGGGACACAGGCACAGGTTCCAGGGGTCAGCCTGGTGAGGACCTGTCTGCTCCCAAGGGCTGGTTCACACCGTGCAAACAGGTTTGTGAACTCCGCAGAGCTCCAGGCCAAACTGGCTTGGGAAACAGGTCAGTGCATTTCCACYTCAGTCAGGTGACTTTCACTCCCAAGAGCAGTGCCAGCATTTCGTGACCTCTGTCACTGAGGTTTCTGCAGGACTACTCCTCACAGCTCCACAGCTCACAAACCCTCATGCCTGCGCTGCTTGGGTCTCCAGCATCCATGCAGTTAACAGCTGATGGTACACGTGCGTGTCTGACTGAAGACTCCACAAGATCTTCAGAAATGTGGGATTTGATATGCTCAGTGTCCCATGGAAATCATCATTATAAAACACAATGCATTAAAGGTCTTCTCCTCTCTTCTCCCCCCTTTTGATCCTTTAAAATCTTACTTGGGGATAAATGGAAAAGGCTTCTTGGTACAATGTCTCTGTATGTTYTAATGAGTGAAGACTCCCTTTGTGCACAGTCGTGCCCTTGCCAGGTTCCCAGGGAAGCAACCAAGGTGGTGTCATCATCACTGTGAAACTGGAGGCAAAGATGTCAGGCAGAGCTTGTCAGGACATCTTCTGAGGTTTTACTGGGAAGCCTTCAGGGTGAAGAAAATTGGAAGTGACCTTTATACAGAATTACTACAAATGCAAGTAGGCTTAGACAGAGAAAAAAGGTTCAGGGAAAGGTTTCTGTTAGGTTTTACTCATATTTCAAGCCAAGTAAAGCAACTTTATTTCCCCAAGAAAGCACTGCCATATGGAGCAGGATAGAAATGTAATTTAGTCAGCAAGAATTATTGGATGTTATAGCAGAAAACATTAGTAGGAGTTTGCATTATACAGGGTTTTGACTTGCTCCTGTTATATTCTACTGTTACAAATTAATAGCTCACTATAAGAAAATAAAGGAAGGGTGGGCCTAAAGAGCAGGAAAGACTCAATGAGCACTAATGAGCTTCAGGACTGTCTCACCAGGAAAGCTGTAGAAACCTCTTCCCTTGAACTTTTAAATAGTTTCTGCCAGTATCCCAGAGGAAATCTCTTCATCCACGCCTTGCAATAATTTAAAGAATGTTTATTTTCCTGAGGAGAAAAATCCATAGGCATAAAAGAAAAGCTGTCTATGCTGCTAGTAATTTGAATTATATCAACTTTATTTGATGTTATTTTATTTATTTCATGACTTATGTGAAAAAAAGGAAAAAATAGGCATATTAGGCATCTTTTAATATCACACTCAGTTTTTGCCTTCTCTTCATTCTTTATATACCAGCAGCAAATAAAATGAAAGCAATAAAATTAGTGCAATAAATTAAAATCTGAAGCCTGAGTGTGGTGTTTTATTGATATTTTTGGAAAGCAGTCTATGGAGTGCTTTTTGATATTTTTTGTACCACAGGTATACAAACAGTGAAGCAGAGGATGGCATTCATTTGAGATTTGCTCTGTCCTTTTTTCATAGTAAGGCAAGTGCCATTGTAGAACTCCTTGGACTTAACTCCTTGGTTACTTTTGAGGGAAAATGTGAGTGCAGTGCAGGGCCAGTGCAGATCACAACAGCTTGCCCACAATTTTATTTGCAAGRGCACTGCTCTCTATCTTTGCAACAGCACAGGACTCACCATACACAGCACAGGACTGCTCACCACAAGCTGAGAGGGTGAACCTTAATTCTAGCTAGTAAATTATTCCTGTGTCAGTGGATTAAGTACAAAAGTCAAAAATTCATGAGTTTGTGAAATTCCTTGCRTATCTGATATTGTGTCTGGGTTCAAAGAGCCCCTGGATGACTCTTGTGCCTTGAGATGCAATCAGATTCTCATGTCTCTGCTTTTCAGGTTCAAGACAATTTCTGCTTTACTGATCAGATTTTTTTACATAATCACCTTCCAGTGGGGTGTCTAGACCCAAACGGCATGAAAAAACATCTCACCTGCCAGTCTGAAGAAAACATTACACAGCAASTGGAGATGAACAAATCCCAATATGCAGACTTTAACAAGATGCTGGACGGCATGTTCACAGTAAGTACATTTTTAATGCACTCTTCCCTCCTTCTCTTTGTAAGCTGTTTGTTTTTAAATACAAGRATGTTAAGTATTCAAATAATGAACCTACCTGTTGTCTGCTGCAGATGGCACAACGCAGTTTTTCTGTCACATTTGGTCTGACCGTGGCTTAAAGGAAGCTCTACAACTCTGCAAAAAGGCAATTGAGAGCTAAAAACAAGATCTCAGCATCACCTAAACTGCAGCTCCACAGTACCCATGATCATGGAGGGTGGCTTAAATTTGATGAGAGAGTGCAGTAGTGATGTTTGTGTAAAGAGTAAGAAAAATACCTGATCATTCTCCATTGATTCAATCGCCTTTTTGTCTTCTCCTTTCTACGCTAGTTCATATAACAGAACTGGATATGTGTTCAATTAATAATATTGATTTCCTTTCAGTTGAGATAAAGAGGATCCCTTTGACAAGCATTAAAAGAACTGTGTTTGGGGTTGCCCAAGGATATGAATCCAAACCTAGACACYTTTAATGAAAAGTTTTCTGTGCTACTGTGTACTCACATGTTACTGTGCTCCTGTGTGGTCATGTCCCTCCTTTCTTCCATCCAGTATATACGAGAAGTTCTAATCGCAAAATAATGTTCAAATAACCAATAAAATTACTATTTCTTTTTAATGTGGAAAAGGTCAGGTTTAGCAAGATCTTAAGCAATTTAACTTATTAACAGTTCTTCAAGAGACTGGAGATTTCTTTCTCAGCTCAAATGTTGAAATATAGTCTCACATTTTCTTGAACTTATAGTTTTCCAACCTGGAAATTTCATCCACACAAACTWAAAGAAAATCCACTCATAAAATTCCTTATGCAATATTACCAGGTCAGTAAATGCCCCAGAAATCCTATTGTCATTTGTAACACTGCAGAACCTCCTTTTTACCTTGCCCTAAGTTTGGGCAGGATAGGTAAAATAGTCAAAGGACTGGAAGTCACCTTCCAGGTATTTGGAAATGAAAGGTGAGAGATCTGAGAACTTTCTTACAATCAAAGGCAAACGCCCACTCAGTGGATTAAAGGCAAGTGAGGTGGAGGCAGAGAGATATCTGCAACAGGTATTGCAAAGCTGTCTCTGATGGCAGGTTCAAAATGCAAAATAGCAGCAGGTGATTAATTCTAGAACCCAAGCAACGGARCAGGCTTTAGAAATAAGTAGAAGAATATGTTTCACACAAGAAAAAAAATTGATGTCATGATATTTCCAAGTAATCCATATCAAGGTATATGTGAATAAGTGAAGTACACATCTGTATGATGTCTCTGCCTATTCAGGCTTAAGATGAAAGTCATGGAAGTTCTACCATGAAATAAATTGTTGCTATATTTTATTGTGGCACCATTAAAAGGGGAAGGTGAGGGATCAAGAAGATCAATAACAACCTGATGTGAATGAAAGACTTGCATTTTGTTTCCCTGCCTCCTAGGAGCCTATAATGGAGGGGGTCTCAGAGGAGAGCAGTGTCATTTACATCCAGCAAGGTAAAAGGCAGTTAAATGGAAAGAGAAAAAGACCTAACTGATGCACGGAGTATATTTGTATATTTGTATATTTATATGTTTTATTAGTAGATTAAGGATTAAGGATTAAGATTTTCTGATTAGAAAAAAAAAAAAAAAGAATTCTTCTTGTAGCAAAGCATTTTTGTTTATTCAGACCAGCTTCAACCAGACCAGGAACAAATATGTCACCTCTACCAAGTTATCCACAGACCAAACTTGATTGTGCACCCACTGTCCGGCAAGGATCAACAAGGAACTAACTTTCTCAGGTTAGTCCTTGAGTTTCTTCCAGCTTCAGAAATGTATCCCTACAGTTTCACCATTCTTGCAAACATAAGTGCTGGGGAAAGAAACAAACTCGACATGATCAGAGCACTGGTCAAAGGCAACAAGCACAAAACAAAGCACACTTATCTCTTCAAATTACCTGTTTCGTTGTGTCTGTGTGGTGCAGCACCCTTGCTGACTCATGCCATTACCTCATGGGAAACTCCTCTCAAAAGTGATGAGCAGTACTTCTGTGATGTACAGACATGGTGTCATTAGCTGCATYGGACTTTGCCACTGCTGTTGTCCTAATGAGACAGATACAACTAAATTTGCTGAGATACACTGATATAGCCACTGATATAGCACAAAGAAGGTATTAAAGAATCTTTGGGGGGAAAGAAMAACAAATAACTCTGTCATTATTTTTTGTGTTGTGTGATTATGAGGAAGAAGACRAGCTAGAAAATTATTTTCCCTTGTCCCTTTTTGTAACCCCTCAGTTGACAYGCTGTGTATTTATTTTCAGTTTCTAAAAACCACCATTTCTCAGGTTTCCATTATCTAAGGACAGCTAATCAAACTGTATACAGAAATCCCTCATGAACTTCCTGGGCTTAGACTTTTCTTTGCTTGGCTCTCACCTAAATTCCTGTTCTTTCTCTTTCCCCTGCAGAGCAATCCTTCCTTTTCTGCAACAAACCTTGTGAGATCCTTCTAGCTTTACTTCCAGCATAGGTCAGCAGGAACCCCCTTTCCCCCCTATTGAGGTAAAGTTCATTTTCAGCCTTCGCTGCAATACTGACACAGCCAGAGGAAGCTCTGAGGTGCAGCTTTGCAGCTCTGTGAACACTGGGTTTCAGTGCTTGGTTTTCCTTTCCACAGACGGATGCTACYGGCAGCATGAGATCAGTTAGCTGTTCCTGACAGAGCATGTTACAGTAAACAGGCTCTGGTTTCATCATGCAGGCTTCCCAGCATTTTTTCAGCTGGGAAACAACTGTGAGAACAATGGAGGATACGTTGCTGACAATAGGTGCAATATCATTTACATTTCAGACAAGCTCTCAGCATTGCTTTATTTCAGCTGAGTTCCTGCCTCCATTATGTGACTGCAATGTGCCTGCCCAGAGATGAAATGCTGGCTCCCTGACAATAGCAAAGAGGGATACACCCAGTATTGGTTGAACACAAGGTGACTTTCCCAGCTTACAGAGGCCTGGGAAAAGACGTGAATAATGCTGGTGTAAACCACAATATCCAAAAGKTATTGAGCTTTTCCTCGCATGTATGCAACAAAAATAAATAATGGCCAGGTGGCTACTGCTGATGCACATAGTGACACATAAGCTCAGAGACCAAGCCTTTGAGTGTCACTGGAGGAGCTTCCTTGGGATGCCTGGGATTTTTCTGTACATGAGCAATCCCTTTGCACTTCTCAGGCAATGGTTTACTGAATATACTCTGCTTTACTGCTGTTGTCTTGTGCAGAAAACCCGTGCATTTGCAAGAAAAGACRATGCCATATCTGTTATCCAGGGAGTCAGAACAGGTACAGAGAACCTACAGAGCAAGTGGTGTACTGGGCAATTAATTGTGGGAGTCCTCTGTTGAAGACTCATTCACAAAATAGCTCCATCAAGAGGGTGGGATTGCTCAACTCTCCTTTCACAACCCTGCTCTGTGCAACCCCAACAAATTTCAGTGAAGGATCATGAGTAATCAAACACACAAAAACTCTAAGGAGATCCACTCACAACTTCAGTAGCTCAGCACAACTTCTCTCTCACTTAACTTTGTGCTTTCACATTGTCTCTCCCTGGTCTGCATGGCTGTTCTTGAAGTTGAACCTATTCCTTACCACCTCCACAAGAGGATCTAACATGGTCAAATTTAGTTTACAGCAGCCCATCCTACCCAAATCAAGTTATGCGTCAAGACTGATGTCTCTGTATAGCAAACTCATATTAGGGATAGTTATTATATTGGGCAACAACTGTCTCTTGACCTGGGCTCCCAGGGAGATCTTTGAGCCCAAAATGGGTCCTGCACCATTGCAGATAATCTGTAAACCGTGCCCAAGCAGCTAAATTGCAGCTCATGTCAGTCTTGGGTAGCCCTGCTTTCCAGTTTGTTGAATAAATAATTTTTTAAAATTTTTTCTTGAAAAAAAGAATTGTCGAATTTGCCAGGCTGATATCTCAAAACTCTCCAAAACAGAAAGTTAATCAATAGAATGCTCTTCGTAAGAACCAATGCACCAAATATTTCATGTGCTCAGAGAGTTCTTCCTAAGACTCCTCATTAAGGAAAAGCTGATATCAACTAACTGCAAAACAGGGACAAGATTTACAAGAAAGTGAAAGCAGTTGCCTTGTAGACCGATGCTTTCTRCTGTCCAAACTATAAAGCTATTTTTTTTTCCCTTTGTAGATCACACTGGTGTTATGCTGTCACATCCATAACCATCRCCTTTAACTGACAGGCACAGACAGCCTTTTGTACCTCTTACTGCTTCCCCATCATAATTCAGATCACTATTGGATGGCCCCTGAGCTGTCTCAAAGCTCTCACCGTTTCTCAAAACACTGCAGCAGCTCAGGCCAGGTTTTGAGAACCAATGGCTTGTTGTGAATTGCAGGAAGACCCTTGGTTCATAGATTTGTTCAGGGATACATTTCCTCTATGCACTTCTGCCAAGTGCAGTGCTCACCAGCAAAAAACCATGGAGTTCAGTGCAAGTGAAGATATAGAAGCTGCAGACAGAAGTTGAGCAGATCAGACTCCCCTTGGCAGATGAAAGAGAGCCTTGTGTTTGTACAGCATTTTGGTGAGAAAATTTTATGCTCATGGGGAAGTGTAGAAACCTGGTCTAGACATTTCAGTCATGAGTTCAAAAAAAGTCAAACCCAAACYGACAGCACTGCTGCTTTGGAAATCCTTCAAAATCACGCCTCTGTGAAACCTAAAGGGTGACATTAGAGTTTATTTCTGGGAGCAAAAACATGCTTTGGGTGTGTGTGTGAGAAATTCCCTTTCTCCAGAAAGGAGAGGTCAGCTGGGTCTGCCTGCATATCGCAGAATCCTTAAGGCTGGAAGAGACCTTTAAGATGATCAAGCCCAACCATTAACACAGCACCACCATATTCACCTTAAAATCATGTCCTCAGGCATCACATCTCCAAGCTTCCTGAGCACACCAAGCACAATGATTCCACCATTTCCCTGGGCAGTGTGTTTCAATGCTTTAAAACACTTCACATGAAGAAATTCTTCCTAATATCCAATTGAAACCTCCCTTGGCACAATTTGAGGGCACATCTTCTCATCCTSTTGCTTGTTACTTGGGAGAGGAGACTGATCCCCACCTTGCCACAGCCTCCTCTCAGGCAGTTCAGGGAGCCATGAGGTCACTCTGAGCCTCCTTTTCTCCAGGCTGAACACCCCCAGCTCCCYCAGCTGCTCCTCACAGGATTTGTGCTCCAGACCCTTCCCCAGCTCCGTTGCCCTTCTCTGGACTCGTTGCAGCCCCTCAGTTCCTTCCTGCAGGGAGGGGCCCAGAACTGGACACAGCCCTGGAGGTGTGGCCTCAGCAGTGCCCAGGACAGGGGGACAATCCCTGCCCTRCTCCTGCTGGTAATCAGAGATCCCACAGAAAGAGAGGGACCGTAGGATCTCCCACCCACGGAACCCATGGCAAAGGGTGGCTGGAGGAGGGAGAGCAGGGCTCTGGTTCAGCCACAGCCTGTGCAGAGTCGGGGACTGTGAAATKGATAGGTTTGAGGAATTTGTTTTTCATGTCATCCTGAATTATGTTGCCCTTTTTGTATGCTTAATATTATTGGTTAAGACAACCAATTTATGTTTGTGAGTGAGGAAAATTAGGCCCCAAGGCACAAAGAAGTTTTATTTTTCCGAATTGTTCAACAATGGCCTAAGACAACGATTTATTACTAATCACTAAAAATTTTAACCCATCCCTTGAGGTTGTCTAAAATGCATATGCAGCACAGGTAGAAGCACTTTAGCTCCAGAAGGTAGATAATTCATTTTCTTTCAGTTTTACTCATTATTTGGAGATCTTCGTAAACTCTGAACAATATATTTGCAGATCTGGTTTTTTTTCTTTGCAATCTCAGCATCCTCTCCCAACTGTTAAAGCACAAAAAGTCCCATGTGAAGGAATTATTTTACCTTCATGGCTTCTGTAATTTGGATATTTATGAAGGAGCAAAGTCTTTTAAAATATTTCATGAGATGGTTGAAAAATTCTCCAAAGCCTTCTAGAGACAAATGCTGTGTGGCTTTGCTCTGATCTTACGCTTTCTTTGCTTGTCCACCTGGAATTGCCAAAGAAACAGAATTACAAAACACAGCATCAAGTTGCAGCTAACTGTAAAATGGCTGTAAAAGCAGTCCTAGCTTTACCACAATGTGTGAGATGTCTCCAGCCATCTGGTTTCGTTTCTGCTTCTTTGTCAGCGATGACTTTGCTTAGTCCTTTACTATCGGAGAAAAGGTGGAGCAAAGCCCCCAAGTGGAAATTTAGCACACTGCCTCTAATATAGGAGACCTCCTGATCAGACAAAATGCTTGTTCTTCCAGAAAGTGTGTACTTAGGTAGAGGTTTCTGACATGGCCCGAAGAAAGAAATGACAGTGTGTAGGAGATCACCAATAAAAGATTGATTTCAAATGTTTTTCTTACTGCTGGGTAATTGCATGCTATTTTTGCCTCCAATAATAAAATTTGTTAATTGTACCTCTGAGTCACTGTACTTTGCAACTCCTACATGTTAAGAATGTACTGCTCTCATTTATAGTTATTTATTTTTATGAACACTAAGAGTATGCTGCAAAAAAAGCACTTGCCTATTTTCAGGGGTTTCACTTACAAAGCCTCATTCTTTTGATTACCTGCATTCCTCTCACTTGGTATTGCTCATCATAGCTGGGCTGCTTATAGTTTCTGATTAGTAGAACTTGACTCAGGACAATTGCATTCTTAGTATATGAAGATAAATTCTTTCATCATAGCAAAGGGATTTATCTGCAMAAATGCCATTGGTGTGATGATGCTTTTTCATTAATAAGCAAATTAAAGTCACAACCCACGTACATTCCAAGTGCCGGTTATCTGAATGTGATAAACTCTGATGAGAAGCACTCAGTGCATGCTACAGTGAAAATATATAGTGCAGAAAATCCTTTCTCTTGTCTGAAAAAAACGAGTTAAAACTAATAACCTTTTTTCATGGCATATACCTTTCACCTTCGACACCGGCTATATTGAGTAATAAGAAACAATTCCTGAGCATGGAATTGCAATGCAGAATGCAAAAAAAAAAAAAAAAAAAAAAAAAAAAAAAAAAAAAAAAAAAAAAAAAAAAAAAAAGCAAAGTACAGTTTTTTGATCTCAGTGCAGCAAGCAGGCATGGATCAGTACATAACCTCTTCTGAACAGCATGATCTTGCAGAGCAACAGAGAGAAGGTGCAAGGCTCTCAGAGGCCCCAGGCAAAGACCAAAGCTCTTTGCACTTGCACGTAGCTGACTTGCAGTGAAGGGGAGGCTTGACTACTAGCCTGGRGAAGCTCTCTCACTGTTCAGACAGGTCAGACTGTTTGAGCACATACACTGGTTTTCTGCAGAGTAACTGCTCCTGGTGTTAATGATGCTGGTGTTATCAGTGAAAGGGTAACAGCTCTCGAGATGGAAGAGGCAACACCACCAGCAGGTCTGGAAAAGGCACAGAGAGCACATGTTCCTGCAGCTGTCAGAAGAACCCAGCTCTGCAGAGTCACCTCACTCTCTGGCGTTCTCAAAGGGCATCAGTGAAATCACAAAAGAATCTTCAGGCCTGGGCACATGGTGATGTGGTTTTTGGGACAGGCTGTCTGAGAGATGTGAAGTCCTTGCTAGAGATCTATTTTGTCACTGATGCAAATAGTCATCTACCTTCATGTATTTTTTGTCCATTTTTAAAAAGTCCCTGTGCAAGACTGTCGACATAAACTCAGTCCCATTTCCTATTTCATGTCATATTGACATTCACAGCCCACATTTGGGATGTTTTACTTGCCCATTCATGGTGTTGAATGCACCATCTGTGGACTGGCTGATCGTGACAGACCTTATAAGTACCTGTGAATCCACCCTGGTTGCCAAACTAGGTGCTCTGACAGACTAGAATGGGCAAAGCAGGGTTTCTCATAGCAGCTCTACTATAACCATATCAGCTGGGAGAGGAAAGAAGTAGATCATGAGAGATTAAATCCATGGGCAGATGGAACATATGACAAAGAAAACAGAGAAGAAGTATGATGAGGGAGGTAAGAACTGTCCTGGGATAAGCAAGAGCTGTGCCGTAACAGCTCTGGGGAAATGAACAGGTGAGAAACTTGGCAGAGATAAGGAAACAACTAGGGGAATTAACAGACATGCCTTGGGAGATGAAAAAAATTGTCAGMTCTTCTAAGAGAGGAGCTTGGGAAGGTAGTAATGCCAACTCTGTTGAGGGAGGATGAGAAACAGGCCAAGATAAGCAGCAAGAAGATGAATACCAGGAATAATCAAAAGACAATGCCAGGCTTGAGTAACAAGCCAAGTAAGCTAACAGAAGCACCAAGAGTCTGAGAAATAACCTTCAGGAGACAATTAACATGAAAGCCATCTCATGAGAGCCAGAAGCTGTGGTTTGGAGATCAAGACATAAGATTCTTTCTTCAGGTCACACAAAAACTGAGGCATTTGCTGTATTGAATGTCTTTGCCTAGGTTTCTTATAGCACAAAGAGGACAATTTTATCTGCTTCTGCAATATGTATGTTGCACATGCAAATAAACAGAAGTGGTTTTCAATTTAACTGGTGGAAACTACCCAAAGTTATTTAGAATTATTGTAAAATCAGAGCTCTGACTCAACCCAATGTAGGCTCTAAAAGTATGAAAATCATAAACAGTTGCATGAGGAAATAAAATACAAAGAACACCTGCAGAATTCATAATGATCTGAGTGTAGATGAGCTTCTCTCCTCACCTTCTCACTCCCCCAGGGATGCTGGTAGCTGGTGCAATCCTAGCATGAGTTTTCTCTCAGGTGTTTTCTCTCCTCTTTWGCATGGCACACTACAGCAAGGACCCAGAGAGAAAACAAGTCCCTCCTGCACTACTGTCCTTAGTTGCCACCCTGCACTCAGTGACCCATCACGGGCAGAAAATGTAAACATGGAAAGAGAGGGAATCTGAAAGGAGCAAAATCACCTCTGCTCAAGCAGGTATGCAGGAAAGAATTATCTCCCTCTGCTACARGATCTTCATCTTGGGAATCACCATCTAACCTCTCTCAAAAAGACTGTGGTTTTCAAATTTCCTTGTGATTTTTCTATTTCCTGAGAATAGGTTGCTCCCTAACCGACCCAGCAACAGAAATTCCCTGGCTATTTTTCAGAATGYGAGCCATCAGGGTGCCCTGTTATCCTGTAGGCAATTTGATAGCATCAACAGCTCCTTCTGACTGAGAGGGTGTATAAATAAGTACGTACATGTGTATAAAGAAGCATTTCTTYTTTATACACTTGGGGTGTAATTTTACACAGCCTGTGAGCCTTGCAGTTCACAGAACCTTGAAATTATTCATCCCAGTCTGAAGGTCACCACTTTAGAAGGTGAAACTCTCTTTACCCTACTGATGCTTAGAGCACACAGCAATTACAAATCCAGTGAAGCTTCCCCCTTAGTGAGACACATTTCACTTTAAAGCATGGCTGATTCTGGAAATGTTTGGTGTTTTTCTTGGTCCTTTATGTGATAGAGCATCATTAGATGCTTTGATCTCAAGATGCCATGCTAGACAAGGCTGAATTTATGTGCAAGGAAGCACCAGGGAGGTTCCTTCATTAAGAGATAGGCCATGAAACAACAGGCTCTTCTAGGTTTGCAGCTTTCCCAGGAGACAGCTCCCAGGCAGAAACACTGCCTTTCCAAAGAGCAGTGACTAAGCAAGTGATTCTCTAGCATGGCACTGGGACATGGTATTACCAYAGCTTTTGATTTCATGACAGCTGGATTAGGATTTACAGCAGGAGGGGATTTACCAGGCAAATGCAAACAAATACTGCTTTGTGGAAAGCTGCACTTCCTTCCCAACTCCAAAACTTTCAGTGATTTCAAAGACAATTATTTAAAATGTACCAACAAAATCTTTGCTATTGGCTTAGTACCTATACTTGTTACTTAAAATATCTGCTATGAAAGCAACACCTTCTAGTACCCATGCCTACATGAGTTTAGATAGAGGAACAGAAAAGTTTCGTCACCTCTTCTCTGTTATTTGTCATTTTCTGTATTTTTCACACACAGGAGTAAAATGAGGAACATTTAGTATGCAAATTAATGAAGTGGCAACTTCAGTGAGTAATTTTACGCACTTATATTTTGAACTTATTAGTACAAACTGGCTATTGGCATCAGCTGGTGAGTCAGCTCCTTTGAGCAYAGGAAGAATCACGAACATATTCAACATGAAAATTTCTGTCATTCCTTTTAAAATACAAGCCCAAAAMCCCTCATGATTAATTGGCATTAAGATTGCATTAGATAAAAAATGAGTCATACCACAAGAATACTAGTAGAATAAGGTCTCTTCCATTCTTTGTTTCACTACCAGGTATGTATTTAAAAATCATTCACTTACTTGGACTTAGGACACCAATTCATCTGGCCCACTACAGTGGCTGTGACAGTAGCCAGCAGTCAGGGCTTAGGAAGATCACAAATAGGGCAAGGAGAGTGTGACCTTTCTGCTGATACATCTTCTTCTCTCAGCTGATGATTGAGGGACTTGTCAAACTGGAAGCTGTGCCAGTTATGGACTGTGATCTTTGAAGCTGCCCAAGCTCTTTTTTAATCCACTTATGGTTTTAACAAATACATTACAACACACACACCTTAATTTGACTATATACTTTTTGGAGATGTAGTTTCCATTTCATTTAGTTATAATGTTTTACCTGATCCTATCTGTTTCTTGCACAGTGGGAAATGATGCTTTAATCATTGTCTCTGGGCCATTTCTATGTTTTGACACTTCTAGCAGACCCTCCAGTTTTGTGGGACCTGTTTTAATTTGAGATTAAGTTTCSCACTTTATTTCTCTTTAGACAGAAACAATTCTATACATCTGCTCAGCTTTGACAACATCCTCAATCTATCGTCTATATTAGTTGCTACTTCCCTGACAAGGGTGACCACATTTCCATACAATATTCAGGGCACAGCTAAACCATGGTTTTCTGGTAGCACAGAGCAGCTTTTTTTTTTCTCTCTCTCTTATTCT